ACTTTCTTTGATAAGTATGGAAGGGGGGGGGGGTTCAAGACTTTGCCACAAGGTTCTGTTAGGTTATAAGTATTTTTTTCGCTTTCCATTTTTTTGTTTATTTGAATTATTTCATTAATTAATATTCTTTCTCGAAAGTAGTGTGGTAAAAATGGTGGAATGAAAATGAGAGAATAATGATGATAATATCAATAATTATAATAATAATGATAATGAAGATGATGATAATGATAATGATGATAACAATAATGGTAATAATAGTGATGATAACAGTAATGATAATAATAATAATGGCAATAACAAGAGCGAAACAACAATTATAACAACAATGATGATAATAACCGTAACAATGATAATGATAATGATAATAATAATAATAGTAATAGTAATGGTAATGACTACTGAAACCCCATCTTTCTTTCTTTTTTTTCTTTCTTATTTGAATTAATCATTATTAGCAACTGATTCATTGAAAGCAGCCGAGAGAGGGAATAGAGAGAGAGAAAAACAAACTTACCAAAAAGTCAAACTAAAAACATCACAAGTTGAAATAATGAAAAGAGAGAGAGAGAATAGAAAAAGAGAAACAAAACTTACCAAAAGGCAAACTAAAAACACCATAAGTTGAAATAATGAAAAGAGAGAGAGAGAATAGAAAAAGAGAAACAAAACTTACCAAAAGGACAAACTAAAAACACCATATGTTGAAATAATGAAAATAGAGAGAGAGAGAGAGAGAGACACAAAACTTACAAAAAGACAAATTAAAAACACTATAAGCTGAAATAACGAAAATAGAGAGAGAGAATAGAAAAAGAGAAACAAACCCTACAAAAAAACAAACTAAAAACACCATAAGTTGAAAACAAAAAAAAACAAAACAAACAAAAAAAAAGTAGAGAAAAGATATCTGCTTTTTTTAACACTATTTTTCTTTCTGTGGCCTTGGAAATCTGTACTTAACCTTGAATTTGCACAAAAGTTTAGTTCTATCTTTCTCTATGTTCATTTAAGGAAAATGCACATTCACGCAAGAAAGGTGCATTTTCATGGTTATTTTTTAAGTTACCATCCTAAATTCATACGGAAATTTCAGTTAGTAGAATTAGAAGAAATATTGATAATGGTAATAATGATTGACTATGATAATAATAATGATAATGTATTTAATATGATAATAATGATGATATCAGTGATAATGACTATGATAATAATGATGATGAATATGAAAATAACGATTGAGATGAAAAAATAATGATGATGATGATGATAATGATAATGATGATGATTGATGATAATAATGATAGTAATGATAAAATGATAATATAATCATAATGACAATGGCAATGATTGGGGATAATAATTATAATGATATTGATGTTGATGATGATGGTGATAATGGTACACACTAATATGATAATCAAGAAATAACAACAATGATAATGATAATAATGACGATGGTGATAATATCAATAATGACGAGAATAACATAATCTTAATGTTGATAATATAATGATAATAAGTAGCAGTAAATAATGGTGTTATATATTAATATAGAAACAATAGCATTGATACTACTACTACTACTTACTATTTACAAGTACTGGTAATAGTTGTTATAGTAGTAGTAGTAGTAATGATAATGATAATGATAAAAACAATAAAAATAATGATACTACTACTACTAATACTGCTGCTGGGTAAAGAAGTTTTTACAGAAGTAGTAGTAGTAGTAGTAATGATAATAATATTATAATAATAATAATAATGAGGATAATGATGATAACAATATAAATAATACTAATGATAACAATAATAACACTAGTAATAATAATAATGACAATAATAACATTAATAATAATAATAATAACAACAACAATAATAACTTTAATAAGAATAAAACAACCACCACACCTTGCCACCAACAGTTGCTAATATAAGCCTAACTAGTCCCATGCAACTGGCAATCATTTCGACATGGTATGCGCAGTCACCACCCACAAGTACAAGGTCACAAGTAAAGCCATCCGGGTGTGCTATTGTGTTGTTGAATAATTGAAGTTATCATTACAAAGTGTTAGATATGTGATTATTGGTTAATCAGTTACTTGCGGTATGGGTATGAGATTCATATTTACTTTTTCATCTGTATTTTTCATATCTATCAGTCTATTTTCTTTCTCTCTCTCTCTCTCTCTCTCTCTCTCTCTCTCTCTCTCTCTCTCTCTCTCTCTCTCTCTCTATATATATATATATATATATATATATATACTCGTGTATTTATATATATATATATATATATATATATATATACTATATATTTATATATATATATATATATATATATATATATATATATATATATATATATATATATATATATATATACTCGTTATTATATGTATATAATATATATATATTATATATAGATAGATAGATAGATAGATAATAGATGTATATATATATATATATATATATATATATATATATATATATATAT